TTTCACTCGAGTGAGAGGGTTCCCTAAGTGTCCTGGCCAAGGATAACACCCATTACATTAAATTGCATATTAATTTGCCTAATTTAAAAGTCGTTAAATGAGTTTAAAGGTTTTTTAAGATATAAAACAAAATTATTAAAAATTTTATTTGTGAAAAATCAAAGTTTAAGGAAAATTTAAAAATAGTCAAGGTCCTTTAAACAATTATTAATATTATTTTTATCAATTTCAAATACATTTAATGAGAATAAATACTTTTTAAGACCCAAAATAAAATATTTAAAAAATTCTCTTAGTGAAAAATTTACTTAAAATTTTCTTTGCAAAAAATCAAAGTTCAAATGCAATTTAAAAATAGTTAAGATCCTTTAAAATCTCAAAATCTAAGAGGGTAATTTAAAGGATTCCAAAATAAATCCCCTGGGCAGGACATCACATTGTCCAAGGTGAACTCTAAGCCACAAGATAAACAAAACAAAAAAAACCAAATAAAAGTTCACTTGAAATTGGCTTAAGTGCTTAAAAACCGAGAAGATCCTTGAGGCAACAGGAGCAGCAGCAGCATCTTCATCCTGAACCTGATCTCAATCTGGATTTCTAATTACCCCCGAAATGTATCTATTAGTTTGCATTTGGCATTGTGCCGGGAGAGCTAAAGTTTGTCGGGCAAACAACATTTACATAGGCAATCGGTGGTATCTGGGCATCAGGATCAAGGATCGAGGACGACAACCCCTTGAAGGCTATGCAAATCAATGAAATCCTGCGGTTGCCAAGCCTCTGACCTCGAGGGAGGATGTCCCCAAAAATATATATAAAATAAATAAACTCTAAGTAGAGCAAGGACATTTCATTTGGCGCGAAAAACCCAGTCAAGATGTCCCAGGAAAATCAGGACAAAATAAGAAGAGGAAGGAGAACGAGCAGGGGAAAATGAAAAGTAGCCGGGGGAAGTAAAAGAAAATCATAAGAGAAAAATGAGAGTGCGCCGGCGCGTCACTTTGATTAATCGTCGAGGATCAGGATCAGGACCGGGACATTCCTTGCTACTGCCGTGAAATCAGAGAGCCTTTGACAAATACAAATAGTTGTCCGTTCCGTCCCGTTCCTATGGCTTAGGTTTTTGGGTTTTGATCTGGTTTTTTGGGCCACTGCCACTACTTGCACTTATTACTTATTGCACACGTCATTCGGGATTAGAGAGCCTTGTCCTGGGCAGGACATTCTGCTCCATTTATTGACAGTTGCGATTTCCTTTACCTCTCAGAATATATCTTTTATAAAGCATTATCAATTCCCCTGACATTGATTGAGGCGTCTGCAACATTGTCGCTAATGATTATTATCAGTTTTTAGGCAAAGGATCTTTACAGGATCTTCACAGAATCTGCTGTACATCCTGCGATTTCACTTCATTTAAGATTGTGCGATTTAAGGAGGGTTTAAAGCGATAATTTCTTTGCATTATCCTATTATTATTATCGAAAATATAATATTAAATAATATTATCTAATATAAAATATTATAAAATATTTTCTAAAATATAATATTATCTTATATAAAATACTTAAAAATCATATTCCTTGGTATTATTAAAGATAAAATTATTAATCGTATTAATTTGTTTGAAAACAAACAAAATAATATTGCTTAAACCTAAATTTACCAGCATTTAATAATTTAAGATCTTAAAACTGGACTTGTAATTATATAAAAATAATATTTAATAATATTTGAAGCCTATTTCTATAAAAATGTAAATAAAAATATATAATAAATTATATAAAATATATAAAAATATCTGAAATATATAATAAATTATATATAATATATAAAAATACCTAAAATATATAAAAATAATTAAATAATTAAATAATCTTTTTAACTAAACATACATGACCTTTTCTAATAACATTTCGCCAACTATTTATAGTGAAAATGTTTGCGCAATTTTCACATTCAGCAATTTCCGGCACTTAACCCCATTAGGCCGTCAATTGTTGCCCAATTTACCAAAGGCAACATGTGGCGGCACTTGAGCAACTCCTTCAACTTATTTTTATACATATATATATATATTTTTTGCTCCTATTTATCCTGAGCTGCTTGGCTCCTAAGAGATCCTTGAGCAAGCGCTGAACTCCCCCGCAAAACGATGTCTACACAGCAAGAAAATTATTTGAAATTTGAAATTTAATATATTTATATAAATAAATTTATATAAATATATAAAAATATATTTTAAATATATAAAAATATATTTTAAATATAAAAAAATATATTTTAAATATATAAAAATATATTTTAAATATATACAAATATATTTTAAATATATACAAATATATTTTAAATATATACAAATTCATAAAATGCTCTTTCTTTCAGTGTAGAATTGCGTGTTGGTGTTTTTGCGGAATGAGATCGACGACAGCTGTCCCGAGGGCTCTACAGCTCCTTCTCCTGCTCCTTCTCCTGCTCCTGATCCTGCTCCTTCCCCACTCCTACTTCTTCCCCCACTCCTGCTCCTGCTCCCTTATCCGCCGACGCATGCCACGATGCGATTTTGTTTCCTTTTTTTCCTCGGTCCGCTTCTTATTCTTATTCTTGGTCCTTTCGGGCTGCGAGTCTCCTTTTGTGTTTGCCAATGACTCGTGCCTAGTGCCTCGTGTGCCCGAGTCCAGAGTCCCGGAGTCCCTTTTGGCGCACTTTTCGGTAAAGAAAAAAAGGTGTTCCGAACGGCTCTTATGTGACATTTGGCAAGAGGAATGTATACACTTATTGCTGGAACGACAAAATCAGAGCGAAGGACTGGGTACTCCCACTCCTCCTGCTGCTCCTCGGGGCAGCTGGCCTGGACTCAATTGAGCAGAGAATGTGGAAAAACTGAGGCAGCAGCAACAATGGCTCAATGCCGTTTGGTATCCGATCTGCGACAGAAACAGAGAAATCGAGCTGCCAGGATCAGGATCAGAAATGGGAACAATGGGAGCAGTTGCCCAAGAGGCTTTAATGGACATGTAATATCAAACGCATATGGAGAGGGAAATCAAGAAAAGATAGTTATTTGGGGATTTGAAAGGTATTCAAATATTTTTTTTGGGTTTTGGTAATATTTTCAAGCCTCAAACTATTTTAATTTTAAAAATATATTTTTAAGGCCTTAAAGCAAGCTTAAATTAATATTTTTTCATCATGTTTTAAATATATTTTTAAGTTTTTTCAAATATATATTTTTAAGACCTTAAAAAAACCTTAAATTAATATTAATATATTTAAATATATTTTTAAGATATTTAAATTATTATTATTTCCACTTAAATCATTTAAATATATTCTTAGATTTAAAATAAGTATTTTCAAGACCTTAAAGCAACCTTAACTTATTATTTCCCCCCCCTGAACTTGGATAGTTTCGTTTTTCAACTCGTAAACCTGGCCAGCTGGCAGCCGTATCAAACCGTACAATTTTCCATTTTCCGCCGCCCCCTCAGGATCTTGGTCCTATATAATTTTGTATATATATAACTGGCATAACTTAGTTATGGATCGCTGGCTGAAACAGTCACAGTCACAGTCTTTAAGTGCACTGCCAAAAAAAACGGGGGAATAACTGGTAAAGTTAATATGGAAAAGGCAATCCAAGGAAGGCAGGAAAATTGTTTTACTTAATGCTAATTTATTTTTTTTTAACATATTTTAAATATATTTTATATTTTATAAATATAGTTAATTCATTTAAAATATGAAATTATTTTGAAATTATTTTCGGCACTTTAAATAACAAGACTAATTATATTTTGATATTATGAGAGAGCATTCCTACTCTCTGCGGAGAAAACATCCAGGAAAACTACTGCTAAATATTTTTTTTTAGTATTTTATAAATATTTAAAATAATTTGTTATATTTAAAATATTTCTTTTATATTTATTGACACTTAAGAAACCAAGACTAAATATATTTGAAGCTAGAAATACTCTGTGAGTGTACTATATCCAGGGAAACTAGTGCTAAATATATTTTAAAATATATTACATATATTTTTAAATATTTATAATAAATTAAAAATATTTTGTATAATTTTTTTGACACTTTAAAAAACAAGAAAGAATATTATTTAAAGCAAGAAATACTCTCTGAGGGAAAAACAACTTGTAAAAATAGAATACTTACTACTAAATATGCTTTTTAATGTAATTAATATTTAACATAAATCTATATTTAATATATATATAATATTATAAACATTTTTAAACACTCAAAATAAAAAGATTAAAAAAAATTGCAAGCTAGGGAAAGGAAATACCCCATCAAAAATGTTTTCTACGAATTATCTCTGATACCCTTCACTATTTTCTGGCAGTGTGCCGTTCTGGTTGGCTGCCCCACAGTCACAGATCTGCAGTCCATGTACAGCAAGGACCTCGTCGAATCCTGGCCATATGAGAAACAACTTGAGTTTCTGTTCGATTCTATGCAAATTTATGCAAATGCCCAACGTTTTGTTCGCCTGTCCGCCTGTCCGCCTGTCCGTGGCCATTTGGCGGTGCACAGGTGCGTGATAAGTGCCGTGTCAAGGACTAGCAGGATATGCCGCAACATTTTTACTAGGGTAACACCCCCGCCAAGGATACAAGTATCCTGCTGATGATGAATTCAGGGGGGCGGAACCTCCACGATCCGTGAGAATCGCATTTTAACTGATCTATAACATATGAAATGCTGAGTAATCCTCAAGAAATGGGCCAGTTTGCCACCGAAACGACGTTTATCCTTAATTAATAGTTTTGTCCTTACAAGGATAACAAGAAGGGAAAGCAAAAACCAAGAAATTTATGCTGAAAATGTATTTCTTTTCGGTTTTTAACGGAAAGTTAAGAAAATAATACATCAAGTGAGTAAGTAATTTTTAAGGTTTTGTTATTAATTATTTTATTTAAATAAACAAACACATTTTCATTTTTTAAGTCAATATTTTATTTGTCTCTCAAAAAAAAAAAAGTAATACACTTAGTTTATAGGATTTGTTTCAACATTTGGATGCCAAGGCAAGGCTGCGCTTTTAGCCATTCGAAAAAAAATACGTTTAGTTTATAGTTTTAAATAAACATAAAAAAAAATATAAATATATATTTTTGTATTACAAAAAAACAAAACTCTACTTTTCCACAAACAAATCCTCTGGGAAGGAGAAGCTCAGCCTCCGCTTGGTGGCCGCCTCGGTAAGGCAGCTTCCCATGGCGACCACCTCCTCCTCAAAGTCGCTGGTGGAGTTGTGCCCGCTGTCCGGACTGATGTGGCGCCTCTTCTGTGCGCTCCTGTGACTGGGCAGGCCAGTTCCAGTCCCAGTCCCAGCCCTGGCCGCAGCCAGCAGCTTCTGTGCTGACTGCCTCACGCTGGAGGAGATCTTGGTGGCAATCTTCCGCTTGCGTCTTACCACTCGCTGCCTGCGCAGCTGCAGCTGCAGCGACTTGGACTTGGTCTGGGAGGTGGCACAGTTAGCGGTGGCCAGGGGGGAGCGTACCTCCCGCTCCTCGAAGCCGTCGGCGGGCAGAGAGTCCCTCCGCGAGGGAGACTTCCAGTATTCGCACAGGTCGCTGGCCGGGTCGAAGGCGGGGCGGTAGGTGGGCGAGTGGGTTCCAGAGGGGATTCTAGATCTTGAGGTGACTCTCAGGAGCTGCTGCCTGTGCCGCATCTGCTGCTGGCGGAGATGCTGCCTCTGCTGGCGCTGGCGTGGTGGCGGTGCCTTGCGGTTGCTCTCCAGAATGGCGTCGATCATGCGCTCCAGGGTCACATCGCCCATCTGGCTGGAGCTGAGCGTGGTGCTGCCTGGCTGCTGCTGCTGCTGCTGCTGCTGCTCCTTCTGGGCAGAAGGCTGCGGAGCAGGCAGTGGCTTCTGCTCCAGGTATCGCGGCTTCTCGAAGTAACTGTCTGGGACTCCCATGCCTCGCAGGGCGATCAGGGGACCAGGGATGATGGCCGCCGTGGGGGAGTACTCCGCCTCGAAGGTGGGCAGGGTGCAGGCGTACTTGGCAGGAGCTAGTGCCCCCGCTTGTGCTCCTACTCCTGCTTCTGTTCCTCTTCCCTTTCCTGAGGGTGGAGTGGCCAGGATGTTGCTCAGATCCTTGAGCAGCGGCGTGCGTGGTGCCAGAGAGGCGGCGCTGGTTGGCAGCGGTGTGGAGGTCAGCTGGTTCTCCTTGCCCTGGCCCACGCATAGCGACTTACGCTTCAGCTTGCCCCGCAAGGCATGGAACTCGCTGTAGCTGGTGGTGGTCACAGCCTTGGACTCCAGCGAGGAGCCTGTTTCCAGGGCGGAGACCGTTCCCATTCCCAGGCCTAGCTCCTGGGCCAAATACGAGTTTCGCGGCTGGTTGACAGCCCACTTGAGCATCTTGCCAGCTGCTGTCTGTCGCTGATCCTTCAAGTAGTGATCCTGATTCTAAAAAGTAGCAAAGGGATAGGGCCAGTTAGTAATTGTTGTCTCCTGGAGGGAATCTCGAAGGAACCGCACCAAACAGGGAAAAAAAAATGATGCAAAAAACCCGACCAACTTGTAGGGGCTGGGAAACGAGTTTCGCAGGGATTTTGGCAAGGATTCGGCAAGGATTTTTGCAAGCAGCTTTTGGTTCTGCTGGCTGGCTGCCTGGCTACTGGTTCCTGGCTCCCGGCTTCGTCCTTGCGAACAATTGAGCAGGCACAAAGGAGCAGCGAACAAAGGAAAAGCGCGCTAAAGCTCGGCCAGTTTTCTGGATCTCCGCCTGCCCTCCAGCTGCGACTCTCTCCTTCTCGGCATCGCAAGGCTTTGCTACGCGGCTTCTCAGCTTTTTTTTTTTTTTGAGTGCACTGTGCCAAAATACTAGTGAATTTAGTTTAAGAATTTGATATTTACAAGGGAAAAGGTAGCCATTTATGAGTTTTACTTTTACTAAAAAAAAAAAAATAATTCCTAAATAATAATTTTAATAAAATAAAAATCATAGCTTTATGATTTCTTTATTTTAAAATATTAAGATTTTAAATTTTACTATTCAAAATAAGTTGATCTCTAATGAGTTTTACTTTAAAAAAATATTTAACAACTAAAGAAGTTACCTAAATAATAATTTTAATAAAATAATAATAATAAATTAATGATTTCTTTAAATATTTCATAGATTTTCAGATTTTAATGTTTCTAATTTTATCATTCAAAGCAAATTTTTATCATTGATTCATAATTTTAATGTTTATTTAATTTCAATCAGTTTGTAACTTGTATTTCTTAAATTTGTCTTAATTAATTTGTCTTCTCTAATCAATTATGAATTTTTAATATGGTTATTTGGTTTAACTAAAACCCTTTTCTTAGAGTGGATCTCCATTAAAATGGTGGTGGTGCTGGCACACTCTCCTTCTGCCGCGCTTCCGCATCCGCATCCTCATACTCCTCCGGTGTCGATCTCCGGCCACTTGAGTGGAGGAGGAAGAGGAGGAGGCGATGGAGGAGGAGGAGGAGGACTTGGGCAAAAGCAGGCAGAGGAGTAGAAGAAGGAGGGCAAAGGGAGCAAAGAGGCCACCTTTTGGGATGCGTGCTAGCATTTTTGCGCATTTTGCAGCCGCCGCTCTCGTTTTGGTCTGAAGAGCACTCGAGCACTTGGCCTCCGAGGAGTCCAAACTCAAACTCAAAGCCGAAGCCCTAACCCAAAGCCAAAACCCCTTCATTGCCCAAAAATCGCACGCGCACAATTTATGCATTTTTTCAGGCGATTTTTTATGGGGTGTTTTTTTTTTTTCGTTTTTTGTTGTTTTTTTTTCCTCCTCTTTTAATTTAATTTAAGGTCCAGACACTTCTGTTTTAATGCATTTTTAATGTACATTTTTGCACACATGCCTTTTTTTATGTTCCATTTGCTGCACTTCACTTTACCTTTTTTTAAATTGTATTTTTGTTGAATTTTCCACTTTTCACAGGCAAAAAATAGCACACGATATACTTTGTTGAATTGCACGGTAAAAAAAATGGTTGGTTAAGTACTAAATCAAGACTTTGAACTTGTCCAAAGATTTTCGGTTGCTCGCGATCGCAGGAACTAAGCAAGTCCTGTCGTGTCCACAGACGAAAAGTGACTGATTCTTCCGTCGCACGCCAAGTTGCGTGCTCGCCTTTCCAGGCTACGGTTTCTCCTCTCACTGTTTTCTCTGCTCTCTTTCCGGGTTTACACTCAGAGAAAACATTTTTGATTTGATCAAAGGGGAATTGAAAAAATTACCATAGTACTTAGAACATTATTAAGTAGGAGTTTCTTGCTCCTAAAACTTTTTTACAGTCTAAAGATTACTTAAAATATAATTTTAAATTTATATAAACATATAAAAACAAATATTTAATACAAATTATTAAAACTAATAAATAATAACCTACTTATCCTTATCCTGAGAATTTTAAATTCAAAATCGTTATAATTTCTTTATCTGTACTGCCATTGAACCCACCACCTTTCAATATTGAAGGTGAGATGGCGCCTCTCCCATGATCTCTCTCTCTCTCTCTCAGTATCCTTCTCTCTTTGACGCTCTGCTCACTTCCTCAATATCTTTCCCTCTCTCTCCACCTACCTCAAAGGAAGGAAGTGCTTTGGAATTTCGTGTGGGAATTTCAGGAGAGGAAAGATTAACATTCCCTCGGAGAGAGCGAAACCCATACACCCGCCCCCCGAAGCGATGGGTTGATATTGAAATTGAAATTGAATGCCTTGCGTGTCAGTTCACTTGGCATTTGTCAAGTTCGAATTTCCCTTGGATCATAATGCTTGACAAATGCACCATTTACGATCAGCATACATTATATTAATGAGACGAATTTTGTTACTTTAGGGATAGGATATCATTTTGGGCAAAAGGGATATGTGCATAAATAAATATTCAAGAATTGAATGATTTTAAAGTTATAATAAATAGATTTGGATTCGAGGGTTAACTGAGTTTAGGGAAGGAAGGAATTAAATAAGAGATCATTTTAGCTTATTATAATATTTTCTCGTAACATTAAGTTTAATAATACGAAAAGCTATACAATTAAAATTAATATTTTTAAAAATTATTATAATTATTTATATATATTTATTTTGGGTTAATAAAATAGTATTCTTCATATATAGATATTTTAAATATATTTTAAATATTCTTGAAAACTCTGGAGGGTTTTTTTTTACCACGACCTAAAAAACAAAATTTAATTAAATTGTATATGTTTAAAAACTAACTTTTTGATTAATAAAATATTATATTTTCTATATAAAATATATATTTGCTTATTTAGTAAATTAATATATATATAATATATATATTTTTAAAAACTCTAGAAAAAAGTATTTCCCACTTTTTACCTCTAAAAAAAACCACAGAATAGACAATCTTAAAGAGATTACAATATGGTTTATGGCAGAGGTTTTTCTTCGGGTTATTTTTAGGCTTTTTTCCCAGCCAGTACAATACAAAATCTCCCTCTGTCGTTCCCCCCCTTTCAATTAATTTTCCCCGAGCCAGATCCAATTATTCGCTGTGTTCGCTGGCATCACCTATTGATCGTCCTTGGGAATCCTGGGCAAATAACTCGGGTGCCCGGTGAAGTGCCTGCCTGTCAGAGATCCCAAATCAATCAAGGTAGCCCATGCATCTGGGCTCAGGCAGCCTTAACCAAATATAAGGACTCGCAGGACTCGCAGAGGGAAGCCCTGAGCAAATACAAATATGCAAGGAAAGGGAGCTCCTTCTCGCTCTCTCTCTCTCTCTCTTGAAATTCTAAATTATGGCCCATAATTTAGGGCCAGGTTTTAATAATAATTTTGAGAAGGAGAAAGGTGAAGGAAGAAAGAAAGTAAGAAAGCAAGAGGGAGCCTTCGAGATTCCCGGCCCTGCGCTAATCCCCGAACAGCTGTCCAGGGCCAAGGATTGTGGGTCCTGGCCGGGCTTCCTGGCGCTATCAGTGCGTGCGGCGTGTGATTCAAGATTACCTTAACCCCGGCTCCTGGCTCTCCTCTGCCTCTCTCTTTACCTAGTTGCCACTTTATCTAGATGTCCTTGCCGCCGCACGTTTTTCCCTTTTTTGCCAGGCGGGGGAAAATAACACAGAGAAAAAATGGGTGTACTACTACTGGAAAATCTTTTTAGTAGCAGAAAAGTTATGAATATATATAGAAGATCAATCTAAGAAATAAAAATGGGGGGTTTTTCGGAAGAAAACTATATACAAAATTAAAAATTTTGACAATTTTTGATACTTTTCATAATAAAACCCCCAAATAAAATTTTTAGAAATTATGGAAACATTTATTAGGAATTGTGTAAAAAAAGTTTAGTAATTGTGTAAAAAATTTGTTAAATTTTGTATAAAAGAAATTTTTATAAAATTATCATAACTTGGCCAAAAAGAAATTAATTTCCATTCGGACAACTGTTTTGTGTTAGTTTTTTTAAGATTAATAAATCTGCATGTTTAAGTTAATATTTAAAAAATACAATTTTTTTGCTAATTTTCAAGAATTTTAAAAATTTGAAAAAATCTAAAATTTTATTTTTCTTGCAAATATGGCCAAATCGATTCTGCTGTTGATGCTGATCAAGAATATACATGATTTATTGGGTCGGAAATGACTCCTTCACTGCGTTACTAGCTTTTAAATGAAAATATCCTGCAAGGTTGTAAAAATAGTTCCCTTAACATTGTAATATTTTATAAAATAAATTTAATTATTAAGGAAATGTATTCCCTCTTTCTTTCTGTGTAGACCAAGAAAACATTGATTGGAAAAATCAAAGAAACGATGAACGACAAAAAAGAAAAAGAAAAACGGTAGCAAATCCGAGCGTGAAGTCTTTGCCTCAAGGTCGCCTTGCAATTCTCCGTCTATGAAAAATTGCACAATTGTTGGGCAATTTATTAGCGGCAGGGCTGGAGGACGAGAAGGAGGAGGAGGAGGAGGAGGAACTGAGAAAAATAAAAGGAGATCCTAGCCGAGAAGGAGCCCTTGCCCTAATTTATCTTGCCGTGTCTCTCCCTCTTCCTCTCCCTCTGACTAAGGCGGAAAATTGCCATTGACTGGCACGGATTATTGGAAGGATCTCCCAAGGATCTCGCATCTCGGGCAGCTGCTACCGACTGGCCGTCTCTCCTCCAGCCAGCTTTGCTGCCCAATTTTATTGATTTATTTCAATTTTCTTCGTTTTTCCCGTTTTTTTTCTTTTTCAACCGAGATTTATCGTTGGTCAGCAGCTGATCGGTGTCGGGAATTTCCACAGTTTTCCTTTATCTTTTCAGTTTTTCTGAATGGAATAGCAAATTAGGAAAAGCCTCTCGAATGTCAATTTTGCGTAACGAAGGTTTGAGATTTATTTGCATAGAAAAGGTTGTGGGAATTAGGCTTCGAGAGGTAGTGTGTCCTTTCTCAAATTGGTTCTGGATATTTGTATTTTAAGATCTTTTTTGGAGTTTATCCTTACTTTTTTATTAGATTTACTTGCTTATTATATTTATTTAATTATTCTATTTATTTTATAATATTTAATATGCTCAAAAATAAAGATTTTTGTATTTTAAATTAATTTATGGAGATTTTCCTTGACTTTTTCTTAATTTTTTAAAGTTTTTTTTTTAAGGCAAACTAAGGTCTTGGTTTAATAAAAGAAGTTTTTAGTACTTAATATTAAATTTAAAATTTAAGTCAAAATTTTTTTAAATTATGTTATGTAAATAAACATATTTACAATAATTACTTTAATAACTTACTATTTAATTTAATAAAATATTTTAGTTTGACATAATTCTAATAATATTTTTATAACAAAAATTACACTGCGAATCGATGAAAGAAAATATATAAAATTAAGTCCTAATTAAAAGGAATTTAAAAAATAAATTAATTAATTAATTTTTTTGATTTTTAATATAAAAAATAAACAAATACATAACAAAGGTAAAATAAAAAAAAATATATATATGAAATTTAGAAAATATATAAAATTTAGAAAATATATAAAATAAAGAAAATATATAAAAAATATAAAATATAGTCCTAATTAATGGGAATTTTTACAAAAAATAAATACATAAATTCTTATTTCTCTAAAATAAAATCTAAATAATTAAATACAAATACAAACAGGTAAATTCTTTCACTATTCTCTTCCCATGATAACATCTCCTCTTTAAAGGAACTCCCCTGAAAGAACTTCCTCTTCTCTAATGAACTCATCGCACTTGAGCTTCCTCAAGGATCCATACAATCCATCTGTTTTGATAGCTCCATCAGGTGTAGCTTCATAAATTAAATCCTATTCGGTGGTCCGGAAGGAACACATCACCACAGGACCTGCTGCAATCCACTTCCCAGCCATAAATTTTAATTTTATAAATAAAAACAAATAGAGTAGCCAGAAAAAGGACACATAAATTAGGCCAGCAAATGGCCAATGGCAAAACAAATAGTAACAATAAAAATAATAATAAATATAAAGAATGCCCAGGACTGGCAAAAATTGGCAGATGTCCTGGATTTTAATCTCCTTTCCCCCCCTCCAAATGGACACTTTCGACGGCTGCGAAAATATCGTAAATTTTTTGCGCTGATCGGTGAAAGCAAGAAGGAGACAGGAGAGGGAGAAAGGAAGAGAAAGAAAGCAGGAAGAAGGACTCCTTCTTTAACCAATAAATTGCAAAACAATTGCACAATTTTCCACAACATTTTTCTCTGCCGGCTCCTCTGCTTGTCCCATAAACAATGGGCCGAAATTCCTACAATGGGCACTTCCTACCCGTTGTCCTTTTCTTGGCGAAAATGGTACAAGGAAAAAGGACGACGAAGGAAGGTGGGTCACGACTATGGGAATACCTTATATTTATACCCTTTGCAGGGTATTATAAATTCAGTTGAAAGATAAATTAGATATATTTTTGATCAGCATCAACAGCCGAATCGATTTAGCCATGAACGAAGGAAAAAAAAGTTTAGTTTGTTTTTTGAAAATTTTATAAGGGGTTAAAATGATAAACAAATTTACAAAATTATCAAAAAAAAAAATATAATTTAAAAAATTATTAAAGTTTTATTTACCTTGTAAAAATTTACAATATCTAAAATAAATTACTTGATGGCCTTGTTATGATAGTTTAAAAATGTGTTCTTATAAAAAAAGCTCATTTTAAAAAGACTTTTTATATAAAAAATCGGCTTATATAATTTTAAATATTTATAATAATTTAAATAAAAAAATATATAATATGCAATATTTTCTTACTCCCTTTCAAAAAGTCTAGCATACCCCCTAATGCCACTGATTGCAGGATATCGTAGAAGAGAGAGAGAGAGAGAGGAAACCAAGGTGAAAGGAGCCACACGCTGCGAGAAAGGTAATTGAAAATTATGTTTTGTGGCGTAAGCGGCGTTGGGAACAGCTGTCCAGCTACGCTCTGTCCTGCTCACTACTCCTGCCGTCTCTCTTTCTCACTTCTCCTGCTCGTTCTCCTGGCCAAGTTAAAAAAAAATCTCACGATCGAAGGAAGATTCGCACAGCTGTTGCCAGATCGTAAATCGATAGCCTAAGGATAACCGATCATATAAAGATCACATATAAAGATAAGTTAATGTAGATCAAAGAAGCCTACATGTAGACCACTTTTTTCTCAAAGTATTTTGCAATAATTTAAAAGGAATTTATAGCTTCTCGGGGGATTTGATTTGGTTTTTTTATATTATATTGGATTATTTTCTTTGTATTTATATTTTATATTTATATTAAATATTTATATTGAATATAAATATGGAATTTAAGACATTTTAAGAGGACTCTTTCATATAAAAAATCCCAAAATTTAGTTGGGTCATGTAGATCAAAGAAACCTCCCTCTAAGTATTTTGCAATCATTTTAAAGAATTTTTTAGAGATTCTAGGACGATTTGATTTGGGTTATAAAATCAGGAACATTTTGTTTCCTATATTATATTTTATATTTAATATTTCTTTCATAGGATTTGAGGCATTTTATTTAATTTATGGCAGCTTATTTAGGTTTTAAGATGCATTTAAATGATCGGAAAATTGTCTAGTTTCTTTTTTTTTTTTTTTTTTTATATGAAAAGGTGTTTTTTGTCTAGTTTCTATGAAAGTTTATGCAGGAAATATTTAATTATATTTAAATTATGTATAAATAATATTTTCCATCTAAATTATGGGTTCTATTAATTTATAATTTTATAATAGTAAATATGACATGATATATGATAAATGGTTTAAACAGATTTTCAAATAAATTTGTATTAAGATTATATGCTTGTAGGTTTCTTAACCCTCTAATGCCAGTTTATATCAGTGATAAATAAAAATATTTAAAATAATATAAATATATAAAATAATATAAATATATAAAATAATATAAATATATAAAATATTATATATTATAAATTAATAATATTATTATTTTAAATAGGTATTCAATTTAAAAAAATACATATAAATATAAAATCAAAATATATTAAATAATTATTTTAATCATGTAAATATTCAAGTCAAGTATTCCCTTAATATTTTCCCTGATCTTGTCACATTACTCAAATAATTAGCATAACAAGGATCGTGTCCTGTCCCCTGTGCCCTGCCCCTGTCCTGTTGCCACCCACTTTCAATGCCTAAAATTGCCTCAAAATGGTTGAAGTGGTTGAAACTGTTGCCGGTCCTCTCAACCTTTCTGCGCATGCGCAACATGTCAGCTCTCTCACCCAGCCAGTTTTATCTCTCTCAGTCAGTCTCTCTCTCCCTCTCTCTGTTTCCCTAGGTGTCCTAGCTCTCAGTTGTCACATTTTCTCACCTTGGGCAGCTAAGGGTTCTCCGCAAGGCAGGGACAGTCATTCAACCATTGAACGTCGACGGAAACGCACACGAAACTAAACGCGACGCCAAAATTATTTATATTTTGTTAAAAATATAATATTAACAAAAAATATAATATAAAAAAAAGTATTATTTAAAAAAAACTATACATTTTTTTTGCTGTTTAATATTAAAGTTGTGCTGCAAACAAAAAACCTACAGAAATAAAGGTAAAAATCAAGTGAAGGAAATAATTTTAAAAGAAATTCACAAAAAAGTGGAAAAACTCTTTGAAGGATCAGAAAACCCTAAAAAAATATAACCAAAATCTATCTAAAAATATATAAAAAAGATATATATGCCCAATTTAATAATCATAATGATCCTTCAATAATCGCACCCAATTATGTGAGCCCAAAGTCCAGTTTTAAGGACTGCCCGCGGTCCAGTTTAATTGCTTGAAAGAGAAGTGGTTGCTGATTTCATTTTTGCCGCTTGGCTGATTCGCCAAATCAATACCCACATTCACACACATTCCATACATATATATATATATAAATATATATATATATTTGTATAGGTACCTTTAGGTTTGGCGGAAAAAGCGCGCCAAAATTGCCGAAAACTCACCCGGCAACTTTGCTGCCGCTGCCCTTTTCTTGGCCTTTTTTTTGTATTTCAAAAATTCCGACTCAGAACCAGAAATAACCACCTCCTCCTCCTTCTCCTCTTGCAGCACCCACTACAAGAACCAGAATCAGAGCTCTAGACTCCAGCCAAGATGCTCAAGTGGGCCGTCAACCAGCCGCGACCCTCGTACTTGGCCCGGGAGGAGACCCCCAGTGTTGTCCCAGTGACCACCACCACCAGCTACAGCGAGTTCCATGCCTTGCGGGGCAAGCTGAAGCGTAAGTCGCTATGCGTGGGCCAGGGCAAGGAGAACCAACTGACCTCCACACCGCTGCCAGCCAGCGCCGCCTCTCTGGCACCACGCACGCCGCTGCTCAAGGATCTGAGCAACATCCTGGCCACGCCACCCTCAGGAAAGGGTAGAGGAACAGAAGCAGGAAAAGGAGCTGAAGGAGGAGCAGTGGCTCCTGCCAAGTACGCCTGCACCCTGCCCACCTTCGAGGCGGAGTACTCTCCCACGGCGGCCATCATCCCTGGTCCCCTGATCGCCCTGCGAGGCATGGGAGTCCCGGACAGCTACTTCGAGAAGCCGCGCTACCTGGAGCAGAAGCCACTGCCTGCTCCGCAGCCTTCTGCCCAGAAGGAGCAGCAGCAGCAGCAGCAGCCAGGCAGCACCACGCTCAGCTCCAGCCAGATGGGCGATGTGACTCTGGAGCGCATGATCGACGCCATTCTGGAGAGCAACCGCAAGGCACCGCCACCACGCCAGCGCCAGCCGAGGCAGCATCTCCGCCAGCAGCAGATGCGGCACAGGCAGCAGCTCCTGAGAGTCACCTCAAGCTCTAGAATCCCCTCGGGGACCCACTCGCCCACCTACCGCCCCGCCTTCGACCCGGCCAGCGACCTGTGCGAGTACTGGAAGTCGCCCTCGCGGAGGGACTCCCTGCCCGCCGACGGCTTCGAGGAGCGGGAGGTACGCTCCCCCCTGGCCACCGCTAACTGTGCCACCTCCCAGACCAAGTCCAAGTCGCTGCAGCTGCAGCTGCGCAGGCAGCGAGTGGTAAGGCGCAAGCGGAAGATTGCCACCAAGATCTCCTCCAGCGTGAGGCAGTCGGCACAGAAGCTGCTGGCCGCGGCCAGAACTGGGGCACCGCCGGCTAAGATGCAGCGCCACATCAGCCCGGACAGCGGACACAACTCCACCAGCGACTGTGAGCTGGAGGAGGATCGGCCGCTGGGTGGCCTGGATGTGGGTAATGAGGACTTGGAGGCTTCCTGCCAAATGGATGCCAAGTGGCTGCAGTCGCAGGTGCGAGAGGCCACCAAGCGACGCCTCAGCTTCTCCCTGGCGGACCGCAGTTGAGACGAGGAGGTGTTACCCTAATCCTACATTTTTTTTTTTGCAAATTTTTTTTATATAGATTTAAGAACTGTTTTTTTTTAAACTAGAAAATAAATCATGTTTTTTGAATGCAAAAAAGAAAAAATGAATTTTAAGTGGAGAGAAGAAAGAGTTGGCTTGGTGAGAAACCACAAGACCAGGAGAGAATGGAAGCCTGAAAGCCAGCGGTTTATGCAAAACACCTCGTGAAGATCAACGGTGCGTGGAGAGCACACCCTGCTCACTGGCAGAGGTAGTCACGAATGGAGGAACCACTTTCCCCAGAGAATGCCCGGGTTAACGAGCGTTTTAATGCTCCGATAGCGAGGAAGGTATGAGTCCAGCCAGAGACATGGCCATGGCCCCTAATGAGGGAAGGGTTTGTGTCGCCAAAAAAAAAGAAAACCATTATCTTTACATGTAACCAGTGGGTAAGCACAGCATTATGTGGGTTCTAACACCGGCAAGGTTGTTTACCTGAAAGTACTCGCTACTTGTGACAGGTTGGAGGTGTTCTTAAGGCGAAAAGATGACTCTAAATGGGGATCTAAACGTGGATTTGCTTCCTGGTTATTCCAAAGAAAGTGCTTCATATCATTTGGGAATTATGTTCATAAAATATATCTTTTGGGGAAGGAATAACACCTCTTAAATGGGGAATATTGTGTATAAACCAAGACTGATGGACAAGAAACAGCTCCTTAAAATTGTAAAACCTAATTAAAGACATTTTCCCTAAGCCAAAAACTAGTTTAAAGATATTTTCCAAAGCCTTGACCGCCTGCAGAGCCTTAAGATGAGTTACAAACTTGTAATTTCTAGAGAGAAAAAAGGATAACGAGCAATCAGCTATGCAAAACTAAGGGATACCGATTCCCACACAGCTCCCCCGAGGAGCACAGGCCTCATTAGCCAAGATATGTAAGTATATATATCGGACCGATGCACAGTGGTTGATTCCATAGGCCAAAAATAAAAAAACGAAATTCTGAATATGGTTACTTTTTCTGTTAAATTTAGTACTTAACAGAGCAATAAAACGAACTGTTAAATTATTATTGCTCTATCTCTTTCGTACGCGCTACGAATAGAGAGAGAAGACAGACAAAGAAAGCAAGTGGTCGTAGCAGTGAACGAAGCTTAAAAATTAGCCTGTACAAACAAATTAATTGAATATATAAAATCGCGTCCAATCTTAATCAAATAAAATGCATTTTGAAAGTGAAGGTATTTAGCATAAAACTGAGTAATTTTTATGTCATAATATGTTGTGTTTTTGTTTTAAATTAAGTGTTTCATCAGTGCACTCCCGAGTGGTGTACTTTTTTGTATACATAGATTTAACATAGAGAAATAGTTGTATTGCCCGTCTCACCCCTTAATGAAACCTTTTTATTAATAATTGTGTATGTTTTCTTAGTATATGTTTTAAATTTCAGCTGCAACTTTTTGCAACTTTCCGACTTATGCGCGTTTATGTACTAACGCATACTTTGCGTTTTGTTGTGTTCGTCATATTCGTTGATGCTTTGAAGTCTCAATTGCTCAATTGTGAATTTTTAAATTTCATTTTTTAATTTTAAAACTTATTTCTTAATATATAGGTAATTCATATCGGTGCAAGTTGCAACGTCTATATATTTTTGAGATGTGGTGCTCAGTTACAGGTTCAAATCCTGATAAGGCTAAAAAAACCTATGATGACCTACAACATAGAGTTGAATCTCATGGTTATAAAATCATTGAAAACGATTCTAAGAAACTATTGGATTATTTATTCAAAAAGTTTGCTGCACTATGGAATAAATGCTATCGAATTAAGAAAAAAGTTATTGAACAAAATTTCGACTGGTTGTCACAATTTGAATATGTGTCTGTTAGTCAATTCGGTGCTTCATCTGATCGAGGACGTCCAAAAATAAGTCTAGCAGAGTGCTCTGAAAGAACCAAGCGGCGACGGATTGCAGAGCTAGCAGAGCTCGATAAGTCAGCTTTGGATGACATTCGTTGGGCTTACAAGCAACCGAATCCTTCAAGTTTTCCAGCAAAGGAATGTGAAGTTGTAGCTCTTATGACTGAGGCAAACTTAACGAAGAATCAATATGAACTCATCAGAAACTTCGTTAACGGAAAAATTGATGCTAACTTTTTTCCCTGCTATAATAACATTTTAAAGGAAAAGCAGAATAGCTATCCAGAGCTACTAACCGTTACAGAAGGTGATATTGAGGTTTCGCTACAAAGCTTGTTGGACCACACCGCATCGAGCATTTTAAAATTACAAGGCGATGAAACAGACAAGCTCGATAAGTCCTATAATAACCTAACACTAATAGGGAAATGGGGCTTCGATGGCAGTTCCGGACACATCCAATATAAACAGAAATTTGAAAACAATAACTTGGAAGACAGTTGCTTGTTTGTCACATCGTATGTTCCTCTTCAACTTATTACAAAAACTGATAGTGATAAAAAACAGAAAATTATTTGGAAAAATCCTCGTCCATCCGCAATTTACCAAATAAATGTAAGACGATTCTTTCGAAAGCTGTTTTTGAGTTGTTAGGATAATTTGTAATAATTTGTAATAATTTATAAAAATATGTAATAATATGTAATAATTTGAAATAATGTTATGTTAAATCTACTATGTATAATAGATCATATAATTGAAATAACTTATATTTTATTAATATTGGATATCGTTACCCTAAAAGTATGCAATTGAATTTTTGTTAAAAATTATTATTTTTTGATGTTTTTGGGCTTTTACGAATGGTTTTTGCCTTAGATTTTTAATATTCTACATGTTATTGGGTCTATTTAGCAGTACAGAAAATTTTAGCTTTCTACTCCTACTGGAAGTATTTTTGGCCGCCTTTCCCATACTAGATCAACCACTGTGCGATGTCAGCCCATCATCGATGGGTCATCAGGTCAGCTCACTCTCTCTCTTGAGACGCGGCGTTAAATGAGCTGTCATAACATTCCATCTCCAGTGTCCAACCACCACCACTGTCTGGGAAACACAGGCAGGCAGGAGGAGTGGGTTAAGCCCAAAGGCGTTAACACTTTTTCCTGTCAAAAGAACTTGCCAAGAGGGAATTCTAGAAGGAACTTCCCAGGGGCAATGCTCACTAGAGCGGAAATTCATATGCAAAACTCAAAAAAACCGAACCGGGTTCAGTCCTAGTCCTAGTCCGAGTCCTGGATCCTGGTCATTGTCCGCCTGTGACAGGCAAAACAATGTAAAATACTTTATTACGTGATGAACTCCTTCTCTGTTTGGAAGGAAGCTTCTTTGGCAAAGGTCGAGCGGTCGAGCGGTCAAGCAGCCGGGGACATAACCCGCCGAAATCGGGGCGCTGAGAGAGACACAGGTTCCCCTGTCAAACCCTTGTCCGCTTCCTCAAACTTTCCGGCTTTCCCCGAAAACAAGGTTAACACCGCTGTCGTGTTCGCTGCCCTCTTTTCTTTATTTTTTTACGACTCTCGCTTTTCTTGAGTTTTCCCCGACGCGCTATTATTATTTTTATTATTATTATTACCATTATCTGGTTCTTGTCTGTTCGCCGGCTAATGATTCAAAGTTCTGGTTCCTGACCATCTCTGGCCTTGCCGTCTCATTTAACATGCATTCCTTTAATTTCGTTTTGATTGAAAGTGAAACGGATACGCACTTACCTTGGAAAGAGCTGCCATCCGGATGTACTTTGCTTGTACTTTCAAACGCCTGGGAATGTTCTCTGTACTGTTGGTCTTCGTCTCCTGGTCATGGCCGAGCGCCGCGTAATGAGTCCCAGAGTTAGTGGAGGCAAGGTTCCATAACGATCAAGTAGAAGATATCATGGAAAATCTGACAGGAGTGGCGAGAAAATAATATATAGGTAAAGGTTTTGGGTTTAATCAAGTTTTGGGTTTTAAATTAAATTTAGTTACTATTTTTTAAACTAATATTTTATAGATTATATATATCTATAGATTTTTTACTTGTATAAATTTAGTTATAAGGCTTAAGTTTGGTTTTTTTTTTTAGCATTAAACTAATATATTTGTATTAATTTGCTAGATTTTCAATAATTTAGTTATAATAGTTATTTATTTAAACTACATAAATCGTAATCAAAAATTTATTTACAATTTTTGTTTAAATATTAAAATTTTACTTTAATTTTCTTGGGATTAAATTAATATATAAGTTATTAAATCCTCATAAATATTGATCAGAAATTTTTTTTTAAACAAATTGTTAAATATTAATTTTTTTAAATTAAAAAAGGTAAGAACTTTAGTATAAACTTTTGACTTTCCAGAATTCAGATGAAATTTTTAATTAAAAAAATTTTTTTAATTAAACTAATGACTCCAGGCCACTTTTTTCATGTTTTCTAGCTCAGTAATCTCAAATATATTTTCCCAGTTTACTATAAAATCTTAAAAAATAATAACCTTAAATACCTCCTTCTCCTGCCAAAAAGAAAATCTTTCAATAAATTTAATTGAAATGTTATTTTTAAACTAAAATGTTTTTCAGCCTTTGTGTGAAAATATGGGTGTGAGAAGACAATTAAATCGTGGTGATCTGCACTCAATCTAAAACCCATTTCGAGGGCACACTTTTGTTCGAAAGAAAATTGGGAAAATTGTGAAAAATCGTTCCATTAAAAGCGGGCGAAACTCTAATTGCGATTTAAACGTTTCTCGAGTGGCGAAAATTGAAACCAGAGACACAGGAGACACAGCGCCTGCACCCGCTTAATTTTGGACAGTGACAAAAGTCGTCCTTCGGGACAGACAGAGAGAGAGAGAGGGATAACATTTGACGCACCTTTCGACCCGCACATATCCTTGTACACACTCTCCTGGGGTTTTTCCCGCTGCCCGCTTGCTGCACGCGTGCCTCGTCCTCCATTATCGGACCTGATCGATCGCAGAAACAGTTGCAAAAACACGGCGTAGGGGTTGTCCTGCATGTCCTGCCA